GCCTGTAGTCCCACGTAGTTGGGAGGCTGAGGCAGGAGGGTTACTTGGGAGGCAGGAGGGTTGCCTAAACCCAGGAGTTTGAGATTGCTGTGAGCTAGGCTGACACCATGGTATTCTAGCCTGGGGCAATAGAAACTCTGTCTCACAAAGAAAAAAAAGAAAGAAAACATTTTGTTGGGCTCATGGCTATAATCCCAGCAATTTGGGAGGCCAAGGCAGGAGGATTGCTTGAGCCCAGGAATTTGAGACAAGCCTGAACAACATAGTTAGATCCTGTCTCTACAAAAATTAAAAAAGAAAAAAAATAGCCATGTATGATGGTGTTGTGCCTGTAGTCCCAGTTACTTGGGGGGCTGATACAGGAGGATCACTTGTAGCACAGGTAGCACAGGAGTTCAAGGCTACAGGGAGCTATGATGGTGCCATTGCACTCTTCCCTGGGCAACAGAGCAAGACCTTGTCTCTAAACTTAAAAAACAAAAACAAAAACAAAAAAAACAATACTCAAGAACAGGCCTTAGTCTATACCAATTAAGTTAGAATCCTGAGAGGAGTAGGGCCCATGGGTACCAATATTTAAGAGCTCATAGGTGATTCTGACATGTAGTCAGTGCTTCTAAAGAAAATCCCTATTTTACCTTGTTGCTGAAAAAGGTTTACTGACCAACCAAGCATAAGTGATCATTGATGGACTCTATCCTGAATGTTCTCGCTGAAGAACAGAGGTTTTTCTACATGTAGGACTAAACAGTGTGGGTACCTTACAGGTAGGGAGATGGGAAACTAAACCTGCCTCATTGTGGGACAGCTCCAGTGGCTTGAAAGTGCTATCCAGTCCAGCTACCATACTCTGAAAACGTCCTGTGTTCTGGGCACTGTTTTATGTGCTAGAGATGTAGTGGTAACCATGCCTCAGGGATTTCATGACATTACATTCTCTGTTAAATAATCCATATCTGCTCATTGCTTCATTTGACTAGCCTTAAAAAACTATTATAATATTATGACATTATATGTGTTACATATGTATAATATATGTTTAATATATCTTTAAAGCAGACCTTCCAGAGCTCCTTTCAGTAATACGTTTGTTAGCCTGATCTAGGTTACTATATTATATCTTATTAGGTAATGAGGTAAGAGGAAGTAGAATTTTTAGTTGCCGTGAAATTCAGAATATAATTGATATGGGCCATCTTCCTACCTTCACCTACCTGGGCCACAGATTTCTGAACCCCATTCTTGGCAGTGGTAGAGGAATGAATGCAGACTTCAAGCAACCGTTTCTTGGAGGTGCCAAGGCCTTTCACCAAGGGCAGTTTTGCTGAGAATTTCAGGAGATTCTGTCCCCTTTGTAATTTGTTTTCCGTGCTCATTACTGTTTCAGCCTCCTTTTTAGAAAATGAAGCCTAAGTACTTGTCTTTAAAGATTATAAGGAACAGGGCAGCACCTGTGGCTCAAAGGAGTAGGGCACCGGCCTCATATGCTGGAGGTGGTGGGTTCAAACCCAGCCCCGGCCAAAAACTGCAAAAAAAAA